TCTGGCTTGGAGCTGGGATTTATTTGTGGGAATCCCTTGGAGCTGGGATTTGTTTGTGGGAATGGACTGGGATTTATTTGTGGGAATCCCTTTGGAACTGGGATTTATTTGTGGAATGGACTGGGATTTGTTTGTGGGAATCCCTTGGGACTGGGATTTATTTGTGGGAATCCCTTTGGGAACTGGGATTTATTTGTGGGAATCCCTTTGGGAACTGGGATTTATTTGTGGGAATGGACTGGGATTTATTTATGGGAATCCCTTTAGAGCTGGGATTTATTTGTGGGAATCCATGGGGGCTGGGATTTATTTGTGGGAATCCCTTGGGACAGGGATTTATTTATGGGAATCCCTTGGAATTGGGATTTATTTGTGGGATTCCCACAGAACTGGGATTTATTTGTGGGAATCCCTTGGAACTAAGATTTATTTGTGGGAATGGACTGGGATTTGTTTGTGGGAATCCCTTTTAGCTAGGATTTGATTGTGGGAATCCCTTGGAATTGGGATTTATTTGTGGGAATCCCACAGAACTGGGATTTATTTGTGGGAATCACAGCAGCATCCATTTGTCCATGAGTCCTGAGGTTTCATCAACTTTTTAACTGTGGCAGATTTGCCAAACTGATGCAAATTGATTTTTATTTTTCTTATTCAGCACATTAAACCCACACCCCAATAGCTTTGAGATTATGGCACCCACTGGATTTCTAAAGCCACCTAGTTTGGGTTTCTAATGCCCAGAAATAGAAAAATAAATAAAATCACAACAGCAGCCACTTCCTAACCATCTCTGTTGCATTTATATGGTTTATTTTTTGCCCTAAATAAAAAATTGCCATTAAGTGATAAAGAAGATAAAGAAGCCAATACTTCCCTCTGCAAACCAGCACTGACAGGACTTAAAATGCTTTAATTCTTAAGCCACATAGTTTGGGTTTCTAAAACCCATAGAGTTGGATAGAAATGGAAAAATAAAATCACAGCAGCAGCCCCTTCATAGCCATCTCTATTGGGTTTATATGGTGTTTTTTTACCCTAAATAAAAAAATTGCCATTAAGTGATGAACCGAAGGAAGCCAATACTTCCCTCTGCAAACCAGCACTGACAGGACCAAACTGCTTTAATTCTAAAGCCACCTAGTTTGGGTTTCTAAAACCCATAGAGTTGGACAGAAATGGAAAAATAAAATCACAGCAGCAGCCCCTTCATAGCCATCTCTATTGGGTTTATATGGGGTTTTTTTACCCTAAATAAAAAAATTGCCATTAAGTGATGAACATAAAGAAGCCAATACTTCCCTCTGCAAACCAGCACTGACAGGACCAAACTGCTTTAATTCTTAAGCCACCTATAGAGATGGATAGAAATGGAAAAAATAAATAAAATCCCAACAAACTGCTGTAATTCCCCTTGCTCCTCGCTGCCTGGCAGTGCCACTGAAGGCTGCATTGGTGGTTTGTTTCCCTGCAGAAGCTGGCCGTGCACTCGGGCATGGACTACGCCATCATGACCGGAGGGGACGTGGCCCCCATGGGCAGGGACGGGGTCACAGCCATGCACAAACTCTTTGACTGGGCCAACACCAGCAGGAGAGGGTAAGTTGGGCTTTTGTTTCATCCTCACGTTGGGTTTTTGTTCAAAAATCCCTCACTCACAGCCACAACAGGGTAGTTCAACCCCTAATATTATATATGTTATATTTATAAAAATATGTAAAAT